AACTGTGCTCTGTGGGTCAAGTTGAAGGCGAAGGGGAAATCTTCACCTTCCTCATGGCGGGGTGGGGGGGGGAGGGTAGTGTCGACATAAAGAGATAGAAATGGGGCCAGGCATGGTGGCTTATATGGCTGGAGCAATGATTCCAGTGCCAGGCTATCAGACACATAGCTACATCCCTCAGAGGCAGGAGGATTGTGAGTTCAAAGCCAGTCTCAACAATTTACTAAGGCCCTAAGTAACTCAGTGAGACCCTGTCTCTAAATAAGGAGGAATGAGAAGGACTTTCTCCAAGTCAATTAGTTGAAACTAGGTGGCTTACTTCACAGGCTGCTTCCCATCTGGAGGCCTGTTGCTATGTGTTCTAGAAGGAAAGGAATTGAAAATCTCTCTGTAGTATTGAAGTATAACAATAAATCCTGCCATGTGGTGGGAACTACAATATACGGCATAATAAAAGTAAATGTTATGGCACTTGACTATGTGGCCTATAATCTCTCATTCAATCAGAACAGAGATTCTTCTATCAGCAAGAGAAAACTGGACAATTTAATTTTCTTTTCTATTCATGCACAGGCCTATGTTGGAGCTCTTCCATGTTTTCTATTATGTTACTTGAAATATGGCCGTGTAGTTTGATACAAACAATATCTCAAACTGACATCAACAACTTAGTTTTGGACCAATTGATTTCATTCTAAATTATTGCTGGCTGACAGATGCTGGTAGCTACCCACATGAGATCTGAAAAAGCCATGTTCTCTAATTTAATATTACAATAATTTAAAATTACAGCTTTATTAAGAGGAAACACAGATTTATTTATAGCTAACACTGACGGTTTCCAATGACTTTCAGGACTATATTATGCTATTCACTGCAACCCACATTTGGACAGCTTCAATTGTCTAAAGCACTAACAAAACATTCGGGTACAAATAACTTCCTCCTTGATTCAAAGCAATGAACAAATGCTACAAAAGCAGCCCAAGAGAGCCACCCCCTCTGCAGTGCCCTTTTTTCCTTGGTGGATCTACCTACAAAGAACATTTCTGCTGCTGAGCCTAAAGACATTCTGCTTAAAATCTGCTCTGCCTCTGGTCTCTGAGATGTCGCAAAATCTCACTTTTTTCCCTTAAAAATGGACTTTGCTAGGGTTTGATCTTGAGCCCTAAATTCATCTTCCCTTTTTATTCTTTCTTTCTTTTTCTTTTCTTTTTTTTTTTTTTTTTGCACCAGGGATTGAACCCAGGGGTGCTTAAACACTGAGCTACATCCCTAGCCCTTTTTATATTTTGTTTTGAGACAGGGTCTCGTTAAGTTTCTTAG